ATGAAAATTAACATAAAAAAGACTATGGACTAATGAAGTATTCCTTAACGGTTGTGCTGCCCAACCTTCAAAACCATTTGGCTTCTTATCATGTAGTTGAAGCGAGAGAATGTTAGACAGGACTGCAGACAGGATCAAGAGACGAGCTCAGCACAGCTGCATGTGTACACGTGGGCGAAGCTCTTCTTTGTTAATAATTATTCATAAAACTGAAAAATAACCCAAACACACCAAGCAGACAAGCATCACAGAATAATCAACTGTATATAAAAGAGATTACAGAAAGTCATAACATAGCAAAGTTCAAACTGAGACCCGAGATGGGAATTCATACTATGGATAAAGTATGATACGTCAGAGAGAAGAATGATCTTTTTCCTCCAAATGGCACGAGGCGTTCTCCATTGCTGTTGTTCTATTGCTCCTCACTCAGTCCAGGGATGTGATATCTGTTCCAGCGACACAAACTCTACCTTCAATCGTGAAGATGAAAGGCGAGCCGTGTTTTGTTTTGCTTTTATTCATCAACACAAGTATACTACAAACTCAAATGTGCATTTGAGTAGGTATTGCCATGACATTCATTGCACTGTCAGAATATAAACCTAAAGAAAGCCTCAGGACAATAAATTGTGATATTAAATAACCTAACATTACATAGTATGTATGCCCATTCCTTGCAGACTTCATATAAGTGCCCACTAAATGTTTAAGTTACATCTGCAGCAATAACAGTGCTGCTGCTCGCACTAGTATCCTCAAATAAAACTCTGGCTACAATGTACAGTTTATGTGCTTTATCCAATACTTATCACTTTAAACTTTCGCACATAAATAAATATTGGGAAATAGATCACAATATCATCAACAATGACACAGTTCAGAAAATGCCAGCATAAAGAATCATTCCTCGTTGTCATTAACAGCACCTGTCTGTATACCGAAAAATATCGAGGAAACAATGTAATATGCTAATTTCAGGACATCTATTCCTCATGTTCACATTAATACATAGAACTCAAAGGTACTCAAAACTGCATCTTATATTTTTTGCATTTACACATGTCCATATGTAAAACTGTAAATCTTCGGCTACAGTAAGCACACGCAGGAGAAAGACAAGCTCTAACAACAAGTAATTTGTCCAGAAGTAACCTTCTTAACAGAAGAACATGAGCTGTCAAATACTGTCTCTTGTTAGCTTGCTATCTTATATCCTGATTATTTATATATATTTATATGTATATATATAATCTTTTTACAGCCTCTTGTAAATTCCTAAACAAAATGTATTTTCCATAACTGTTCACGGTTTCGACACTGACAGTGATGCATTCCTCACTATCAACGCGACTAATGTTTGGAATTTCAGATCACAGCTGCAGAGTTTAGTGAAGTTCACACCACAGGAACACTTCCGCCACATGAAGACCAGACCTTCACGGATTTTTGCAACACATGGTTTCCACCAGAGCTTGCTGCTGCTCCTCTCCCAGCTTGATTTTGTCGTCGATCTCCCTGGCGTCCATGATGAGCTTGGCCTTCATCTTGATGAAGTGGTCGTAATCTGCATACTCGTCTTCACTCAAGTACTGATTTAGCACCTTTGCGACCTGGAAGCCGAAAAATATATGCTTAAATTTTCACAAGATAAATATATTATCGAATGTAAACATTTTTTTTCCTTAATTCAGTCTGGATGTGGATCCTTCGTAGTAATCAATATGAATTCCGTGCAAAGCCTACCTGTATAGCTCTTCTGTCTGTGTTTTCCTTGAGCCTCTTCGCTTCCTCCAGCTGGTCGCGCAGCTTGTCACGTTTACCCTCAAGAATACGCTGCAAGATATAAGAAATATTTGTGAGAAAATGTTCATATAGTCATAAAATTTTGAAATATTAATGATGGAGATTTTAGTATCTACAAATTACATATAATTAACGTTTCTCTACTTCATGATTAACCAATAATTTCATATGTTAATTCTAAGTAGATTTCACTATTAAGACAAATTTCAGTAACTTCCTTTCAAAATAAACCCGACCATGTCGAAGGCCTTACCTTCTCCTCGGGGTCGGCTTCCTTGACGAGCATCAGGAGGGCGTTCTCAGCGCGCGCCAGGCGCCCGGAGAGGCCCAGGAGGAGCGAGGTGATTTTGTCGATCTCCTCCACGTGGAGCTTGTACTTTTCCGCCTCGGCCAGGCTGGCCCGGGCCTCCACCTCCTGCGTGACCTCGGCGCCCAGCTCCTGGTTGAGGCGCATCTCCTCCTTGATGGCCTCTCGCTCGGCTCGCAGGATCTCCAGCTTCCGGCCGATGCTCGCCACCAGCTCCTCCTGTCCCGGGAAAGATATTCAGTTAATTTTGTATATTACATTTACATTCATTAATTCACTAACGACTTCAATATTTTTGCGAGGCATGGAAACCCCTTGAATTGAAAACGATATGCGGCAATGCTGGTCATCATGAATATTTATGCAGTGTCTCATTTGCAATGTGAAAAGGGAGAGTACAGGGGGCAACACAGAAAACGCTAGTGCATAAGGACGCAGAGCACAGGGAGCCATGAAAGCGGCCACTGTCTGTGCCAGCAACCGGAGGTCGTCCTCTGAGCGTCTTTCATTTCTGCGGCCGAGCGGTTTCCTCACCTTCCTCTTCAGGAGTTGCTGGTGGTCGGTGACTGGCGTGATGGTGTCTTGGAGGTTATTTCCGCTCCCCCGAAGCCGCGTCAGGAGCTTGGCCTTGCTCTCCGACGTGGTGAAGTAGGCGGAGTCAGCTGGCAGTGGAGACTTGTCACTCGTTCTGTTGGGCGACGAAAAAAGAGCTACAGCACATACACTTGATCAGAACATGATAATCATCTACATACTAAGCATGACACGTGTGGTCCGAGATTCCTCTTGTCATCAAAGTCCCACAAAAACAGAGCAGACTGACTCCTCGGGTCACGTGACTCACAGTGTGTCAACAAACACGTACGACCTGGTGTGATTGCGCCCTCCCACAGACCTCCGGGAGGCGCCCAGTAAGTCTCCCTCACTCTTAGTTCGATGTCGCAGCTTACACGTGAGAGGGACGATGGGAATGTCCTCCTTCAGAACAACCATCACTAAAGTTACCCGCACTAATTACACTTTCCGGACGATGACGTCAACTATGCAATAACGCGATGACACAAAAAGTAAGTTGATCCGGGCTGTCGTCCCGGACATTGCATCGACGTTTCACAAATCAACACCTTTAATCTATCCACGACATGGTTTTTTGTCTAAGCTATGCCTCTAGTGGATTGCAGGACACCTGCGCGAAGCCCGCCAGGACACAAACACGGCCGTGTGGCTAGAATCAAGAGACAAGACTGGGGAGGAAGAGTAGAGGCGGCGCGAGGTCCCACACCGGGCCCCGCCAGGACATCTGAGTCATGTTCTCTCGGATGACCTTGTGGACTGAACCAACACCGGGAAACGTATTTATGCGGTCTTAATCGTTTACGAAGTTCCAATCACATGTTTACATCTACTGCGTTTTTACTGCTAAACGAGGCTGCCCTAACAAAGCAATAACAAACTCAACTCTCGAAGACATCCGGCAACTCCGAATGGCACAAGTGTTACACCTGTGCCATAACACAGACAACGGCTACGTGGAAATGTCGCACTTAATGGAGGTCGTCCAGGTAATCTCGCTTACACTACGGTAGACATTAATCCCCAACTAATCCTTATAATTCATCAAAATGTAAGAATTCACAACTCTTAAACATTTGAGAAAACAGACAAAACCTGAACGCTGCCTCCTATCCCTGCGCCGCGGCCAATCTCCGTTTTCCTTTCTTGTCCATCAGTTCTCGCGCTCCCCAACCCTGCCTCGCTCCCCTCCCCTCTCCCCCTCGCCTCCCTCTCCGAGCCTCACAACCTCACGCCAAGAGGTCAAACTAATCCCAGGCTGTACTAATCACCCGCCCAGAATCCCGTGCGGGCGTAGTGCGCCGGTGGAGTGCGGCGAGGCAGATACGACGCTGTGTTTAGAGAGTAGTATTAGCTGTGGGGTAGGAGAGGCTAGTGACCCCGCCTGCTAACAAAAACTTGCCTCATGCCATTACCCAGGAGAGTATCCGTGCCTCCGCTCGCTACTCTCCCGTCGCTCGGGTGTCTCCGCGCCCTGCCATTCCTCCTTTCTAAACAATGCACTCCCCATTTTGGGACACCGATTGGTATAGGCCATTCCTAAAGAATATACGAGTCTTGAAGTGTATTTAAACAACGAGGGCGCACCTTTCTAAACAACAAAGCAAATAATTGATACCAAAAATCAGCAGCGATATCACCAGCACTTGTATACACAACGGCCCCTCAGTCGCACCTTCGCCCTCCGATCCCCACATCCCGACCCCAAGGCGATACCCCGCCCCAGGCAAGGCAGCGCCGCCTGCAGACATGTTTTGCCCCAAGGTGGAGGCGCGCATGCAAGAAGGTGCGCCATTGGTGCTTCTCTCTCTCTCTCTCTCTCTCTCTCTCTCTCTCTCTCTCTCTCTCTCTCTCTCTCTCTCTCTCTCTCTCTCTCTCTCTCTCTCTCTCTCTCTCTCTTCTCTCTCGTGTGTGTGTGTGTGTGTGTGTGTGTGTGTGTGTGTGTGTGTGTGTGTCTATGCGCGTGCATGTGCACATATGTTTCACCAGTGTATATTCTGTGGGAGTTTCATTACGCCAGAGTGATTCAGATGCAGGCCGTGTTGCCGTGGTGGCCGGTGAGCTGCAATAAGCTGCTTTAATCTTTCAAAAATGGTACCAACTCCTAGGACGGCGGACCCGCGGAGGCAGAGCGGACGCGGAGGCCCTCGCGCCCTCCCTCGCCGCCACTTTCCCTTCGCGTCGGCCGGGCGGGCAGTGCCACTCTCACTGCGCCCTCCTCCTCTCTCCTCCTCCTCCTCCGCCCCGTCTCCGCGAGTGCTAACCGAAGGAACAAACTAACTTACGTGTTTAGGCAGGTTGTGGCGTCGCCGTTGGTTGCGGGTGGGGAGGCGGGGGTGGTGTGGCTGTGTGTGTTGTTGGGCGCCATGGTCTTGGGCGTGTGGAGGTTGCTAAGGTCCGGGTGGTGGGCGTGGGTGCTGTTGATAAGGTCCTTCCTCAACTCCAGCGTGAACACACCCTGCATGTAGTAGGCTGCAGTCTTGTGCTCTGGACCAGGTGCTGCAAAGCGAAAGAAAGCCAGTTAAGCATTGTTATACGGCTGGATAAAGGTATCTATCGAAACCCAACTGATAATACATAATAATAAAACCTTTGCGTATCCTCCCTTATGAAAATTCATGTCTCCGATAACGTATATAAAGATTTGACTGACAGCAAGTGAGCCCACTTGTAACAGGTAAACACTATTTAGGTTTACTAGTACAAGAGAAATTAGGGAACACTTGCCGGTAATTCACTGCGGCAAGGTAGGGTTGGGGCGCGCACGAAAGTGGAAGTGGGACAACTCTGGCGGCCTAATTCGCGGCCGGCCGACGGGTGGACTTTCGGCCGCCGAGGAAAGGCGCTTTCGCAGTCACTGGAGTTTCGTATTCACTATATCATCAAACAAAAACAATTACCTAGCAAAAGCCGTTTTCTTTTTTTCAAGGAAAAAGCTACCACTGCTGTTTAGTTAACATCGCAGAACACGGCACACGGCAGCTCAGGCGGAGTAGCTGTTCTCACAAGCTGTTCACACAGGTGTTCAACACAGGTGTTCGTGACGCAGAGTCCGGCCTGCAAGTGTGCTCCGCCGCCTCAGCCATGACGAAAGCCAAGACGAGCCCCTCCCCCTCACGAACGTCACGCCTGAATTTGCTTTCTGCGCTGGCAACATTACCTAGCGGGAGCGCCTTCTTCCGGCGTCACTTCACCGGTTAAACAAAAGCGCGAGGGCGCGCGCACGGGGAATGCCTCGCCAAGGTCTCTGGACGCGACGCCCCCGTCAATAATCCTTCCTCGGACAGCAAATGCAGGCTCAGTGCAAGGACAGGAGGAATAAAAATATGTGCCTGTAACCCGCTACTGCATTCATTTCACGGAAGACGATGCTTATGAAACACTCACTCGGACTTCCCGAAACAAAGGCGTGAAAACTCTGACAGAATTAAACGAACCGGAAAATGTCATTTGTCCTCGTGCGTATGCCCCCCCCCCCCCCCGCGGACAGCAACAAGATTTCAGAAAGGAATTCGCTGCCTACAGGGAAACCAGACTGTGCTCGGCCGCCTGCGGGGATGGCTCCCAACGTCACCGCAGTAATCCTTGTAATCCCAAAGCCCCTCAAGTGCTGCCCTCATGCCATTGCGGCTAACTTGGGCGTCTTTCCTGGATTCGGGATTTCATAAGTTTTCCACAACACCTAAAAAGTCCCTATGCCTCTGCACCGACGAAGAGGGAAACGCTATCAAATCCGACAAAAAATGTTGCGAGTATATCCGAACAAATCATTCTGCAAAAAAATACCTAGACGCTAGAAAAGACAAACCTTTCCCACTCGAAAGCATAAACAAAAAGGAAGCTTTTCTGCAAACCTTTCCCGCCACGTAAAAGACGTCCCCCCCCCTCCCCCGTCTCAACCTGGTCTCACGCACCCGCCTGCAACAGACGAATCGAACAGACCGCAAAGGCAAATCTTTAACGTACAAATCGTAACGTACATCTGACGCAGCAATGGCAGTACGTGGAATAAGGAGTTACATAAAAATCGAAGCGTGAACGGCGTGTGAAGCTCTAGTAATAGTGACGCTACAGTGGCGACGCAACACGGGCGACCAGGGAGAAAGAGACATTTTTGAACGCAGCTTCTTTCAGAGAGCGAATTTCATCAGAAAGAGTAAAAAAGAAAGAAAGAAAAAAAAACTATATTTGCCGTGAATCTAACCAGTGAATCTCCAGAGAAAGTCAATGGAAAGTTGCTACACCGTAAAAAAACGTTAACTATCTAACGCGCACATCACGCACGGGGACGATTGTGTGAAGGCAAGTCACCCCCCCCACCCCACCCCCCACTCACCCCCAAAAAAAGACAGCGTAAAAAAATATAAAAAAAAGGGGAAAAGAAGAGAGTGCTGAGGCTGTGTGCGAGATGCGGCGGGAAGGCCGGACACAGGAAGGGGAGGAGGTCGACTCTGGTTACGAACAAAGCGGTCCAGTTACCCGAGCGCCGTGCCCGACCTTCCTCCCGGAGCCTGGATGGAAGGTCCGTCGGAGGCCCCTGCCCCCCCCCTCTCCGTCACCCCACCGATCGACACTTTCACGGTCAAGTATTGCTTATCGTCGGCTTCTTGCGGCCATTCAATACTGGTCGAGGGGAGCAGCGGCGTCGCTTTTTCTGAAAATAATTCACATATACACAAGCAAATACCCATGCCCAAACACACACAAGCAAACACGTACAAATACCCATAACCATACACGCACACCACACACGCACGCACACGCACGCACGCACACACAATATATATATACATATATATATATATATATATATATATATATATATATATATATATATATATATATATATATAGAGAGAGAGAGAGAGAGAGAGAGAGAGAGAGAGAGAGAGAGAGAGAGAGAGAGAGAGAGAGAGAGAGAGAGAGAGAGAGAGAGAGAGAGAGAGAGAGAGAGAGAGAGAGAGAGAGAGAGAGAGAGAGAGAGAGAGAGAGAGAGAGAGAGAGAGAGAGAAAGAGAGAGAGAGAGAGAGTTAACAGGCACTGAAGAAATAGAAAATAAACATGGCCTCGGCAGACCCGTTCTTTTAACGCAGCGAGCGATGTTTGATCAGCTTTCTCAGTGACTGTGTATGTTCTCCCTGCCGTCGCCGAGGGAGGAGCGAGGGGGCGGGCCACTGCAACGCGGGGCTGCGTCCGCTGCTCCGGCTCCTGGGCATTCCCCGGGGCGCCCGCCGAGACATTCCACAAACACAACGGGAACCTCCTTCGCCGACACCTCAACGTCTTCGATTTTCACACACTCACTGAACTGCATTTCCTGAAGGCAGCATCAGGCTGTAGTTTCCCGCAGGTGATAAACTTGCGGTAGAATCCGTAACGAGATTCTCTTGAGGAAATCGTGACAGCCGGGGAATCTGCTTCAGCCTCAGTGCAGGAAGGAGCCTCTTGATCACCAAACAAACAAATGCAAATAAAAACAAACAAGAATAAAAATCGCCACAGCCCAAGTCCAAACGGTATCTCCCCCCCCCTTCGGAAATACCTGCGGGGCTAATAATGATTCCCGCCCAATCGATCACCGAGGCGCTGCCTTCGGCTGGAGGCTCCGTGTCCGCCTCGGCCCGTCGGCGGCGCAGCGTGGGAAAGGCATGCTGACAGTCCGGCGAAATCAAATTAAAAGACTGAATGCATAATTGATAAGATGTGAATGGGATACGCGACAGGTGGTCACTGGAGGTCGCTTGGCTGGAGGGCGGGGCGCGGGGGGGGGTAAAGAGGCGGGAGGAGGAGGTGGTAAAGGGGCCACGGTATGTACTGAACTCGATCAGATGGAGAAGATACGAGACAAATAGACTAAAGAGGAATCCTAATTCTAGATACTTCTAACAGAGTGCTTTCAGCTGGAAAAAAAAGACGAACGCGTCAAAGTCACCTTGCTGGTCCCGCTCCTGACATGAGATCCAGAGTAATCATTGAACTGCATATACACACGTTCACATACACGTGTGTGTGTGTCTTTGTGTGTGTGTGTGTGTGTGTGTGTGTGTGTGTGTGTGTGTGTGTGTGTGTGTGTGTGTGTGTGTGTGTGTGTGTGTGTGTGTGTGTGTGGTGTGTGTGTGAGTGAGTGTGCGCGCGTTTGTAGCAGGGTTGCTTGTTGAAACCTATTCATGTGGAAATGTTCACAGCTTTTGTTATTTGGCCTTTGTTTACAAAATACGTTGAAAAAGCAAAATGTTGTAACATTCTAAGCCCATACTAAATGGCCCTCGCATAAATGACAACAAGGATATAGAGTACATTGTTCTCTTTCTCTCTGTATGTGCGTGTGTACATGTATGTGTGTGTATGAGCATGTGTAAGTGCATAACACACACATCGCTGGATCCCTACATGAAATCCCTAAAAGCTCGAATAAAACAGATCCAACCCGACCGAACAAAGGAAGGTGACCAAAATCCGACACCGGAAGACCTGTGCCCGCAACAACGCACGGCCGGGCCCTCGCCAAGGTCGGTGGCCACTCCAAACAAACACATGGCCACGCGGGGACTCACGGCCGCTCACGGGGTAATCGGCGAGGCACGCGGGGGAGGATAACGTACAAGGCACAGACACAGGCGGGGTGGGGTGTCTGTACAGTACGGTGCACAGGAACAAGGGATGCGCACGAGTTAAGGCAGCCCTGAATTGTGACAGGAACTTAGGCTGATTTGGTTGGTTTCGATGGGATGAAATTAGGGTTAGAAATGTTTGCTCACACGGAGGAATAACGACATTGCGACCGGATCTTGAACGGTGAAGCTGTTGTTCTTCTGAATCTTCTTTAAACTCTTAGACGTGGCCATCAATACCAAATGAGAGAATATCAATGGTTGCTGAGGAGACGCAGGAACTGATCGATTCATTACTGGAGTAGCGACAAATAACAAAGCTGGTAAACAAAAGGGATAACGACGAATAACTAAAAGAGGTAAGCAACGAAGCCAGAGAGAACTGATACACAGCAACTAATTGTGGAATCAGAGTTCACGTCTTGTTTCCCTTGTGATGAGAAGGCCGGCGTTACATCACGCGCATCCAGTCTGGCAAGTGTAACCGTGTATCTGATGACGTCGCAGCCTCACCTCGCCTCTCCCTCGGCCCCGGTGGGCGGGGGGGGGGGGCAAAACGGAGTTCCGGCTGCGTTTATGACACGGCGATGACCGTGCACGTCAGCGGCCGCCCAAACAAACAGGAACGGCCCGCACGGCGAGGGTCTCGTGGCGCCGCGTCAGGGAGGCAGCGCCACCAGGATATGCACACTGATCATGTTGCC